GGGGCCGCTTCCATGGCAACGGGGCGGGCCTAAACTCCGGGCTCAAATTCCATAGCGGCTTTGGGTTATCTTGGGTAGGGATTTCAACCCTCTGGTTCAGACTCCCAAGTCAGGAAGGGGAGGGAGGAGACTGATAGAGCTCTAAAAGGCTCCTGTGTTTACCTCAAGCAACTGAGGTGCTGGAAACTTTATCCTGTTTGTGCGATTCGGTTCAACATGTGCCAAGCACCGGTGCAAATGCTGTGAACAGGACCGACAGAGTCCTTCCTCTTAAGAGATTTACATGGTGGAAGAGGGGAGTAATAGTGTTAGCAATACAGCTAACATTTACAGAGCACTTATCATGCCCCAGGTACTGTGTTAGTGAACACTCTGTATGCATATCTCTTACCTAGTGGGAGACCACTAGGGATGGGTCCTAGCCGGCTAACTCATTAAAAACCACGATTTCTGTTTTCTTCTCGGATAATCAGGGACTTAAAAGCCATTTTTGCAATTAAAAAAAAAAAAGAGAATAGAGAAGTGACTTTCCATTTGGGCCCACACATGTTCTGTAGATAATTTAAAGCAGAACAAAGGCAGGCGTGGCGTTACTTGCCTGCAGTCCCAGTACTCTGGAGGCTAAGGCAGGGGGCTAATGCGAGTTCCGGGTTAGCTTGGGCTACCTAGTGAATTCAAGACCAGCCTGGAATATATAGTGAAATCTAGTCTCAATAAATAAATAGCAGAACAAAGTGTGACTTTCATTTTGTTATTCTTTGTTACTATAAAACATTAAGTCAAATCCCTTCTCAGCTCTGCATATGGGTATATTAATCATTTGGGGAATGTCAGTCTAAAAGTAGCAAAGCATGGCTGATTAGCCCTAAGTTTATATAATCGTATCTTCCTTCAAGACTAAGAATCCAAAGATAGTTACAGGGACATATCAGCTACCCCAGAAATCTCCAGCCACTGTTCTAAACCTATGATCACCTGGATTCCAGGAAAAACTGAGCCCCAGATAACTGAATCCACCACAAATATAGATAGACCTTTCAGCCAGGAGGATTCCAGAGCTACTATTATAGACAGTTAAGTTAGAAATTAATATACAGTCAGAGAGGGATAGGACTTTCAAGGAAGTAAGCATGAAAAATAAAAGCAGAATTGTGGCTTGAGGTGAATCTGAAGAGAGCCAGGCCTCAGGATGGAAAAGCAATAGATAGGCCTACATGTCTCCTTGGAGATGAACAGCAACTTGAGATTATACTGTAATTAGCACCAGTGGACCCAGTTAGGCATCAGACACAGGTGGGTGACCAGAACACCTGGACCCATATTCCCCTCCCTTTCCAAGAATTCCTTTGATCTTTCCATGTACCCTTGCTATATCACTCATTTCCCTATTGGATCAATATTAGCTAAGCTGCTATACTTGTCATTTTATAGGTTGTAGTATGATCCATGTTGGACCCCCATTGTGATTTTGCTGTACAAATTATCCCTGACAAAGAGCCTCAGTGGCCAAACATCCCTCTCCTGTTTCTTGGGAGCTTTCTCTTAATAAACATTTCCTACTCTTAAACTCCTTTGTCTCTTGGAATTCATTCTTTGATATTTGGGGGACTTGAACTTGGCACATCTGACATCTAGCAGGTTGGGAGTTATATTTTTTCCTGTATCAATACTAATTGGGACATTATTACAACAGCCTCAGGAGGCCGATTTCAGAAGAATTTTGCAGAGTAGAAGGGAACAATAACAATAAAAAAGCATAGGAAAAGAGCACAAGCAGGCTATAAACCTGGAAAGAATTTTAGTGATTTCTTCATTCCGGGGTTGAGGGAACTAAGAGGTGAAGCAAAGTGAACAATTATAGGGTCTTTTGTAATCATGGCTTGTGACCTTTCACCATTCTTTGTGTTCTTCCCCATCTTATTTTTCCTTCTGCTAGGGGCATAAAAAGCACAAGCATGGTGCAAAAGTTATTGCAATTATATCTCATATCACTCTTATGATAGGCACTTTTAAGATTGTTTTGTTTCTGGCAAAGTCACACTATGAAACAACAACAAAAAGTCTTACTATGTAATCCAGGCCAGCCTTGCTTGAACTTGCTACGAAGCTCAGGTCGGCCTCAAACTTATGCACCTTTTGCTTCAGCCTCCCTGTGCTGGTATTACAGGTGTGATAGGCACTTTTAAGAGTCCGGTTTTACATATGCAAAAATAGGCACCAGAATGAAGGTCAGTAAGAGAGAGACGTGATAATACGGTGTTTAGGTAGAGAAGTTTGGCAGAAAATTGAGGGATTTTTCTGTCATCTTGAACCTGTTACTTTTTCTTCTGATACGTATTTTCCTCTGATTTCCAAAAGGGTACAAATGTCTCAAGGCTTTGGAGCAGCAATTTTTTTCTCTATAATGCTTTGGTGAATGTATTTTCCAATGACAACAGAGATGTTATCTCTATACAGGTAAGTTTAAAAAGGGCAACTTCATGGAAAATTTTGAAGGCTTCAGACCCTAGGAGCTTCCATACTGTGTAACCAATTATAATTTTACAGGCTCTGGCTTGCAGTGCAGACTACATTTCCCAGCGTGTAGGTCACTTACCGGAAGCACAGGTCCCGTATCATGGGCGCACAATGCACACTGGGGATTGTAGTTTCTGGAGGCACAACAGTTTCTACTGCCCGGGAAGCAACCACAGGAAGTACGGATCCTGAGGGGTGGAGTCCAAGTGGCGGCGGCTGTTGCGGTTGCCAGGAGCCCGCGTTGCCGCCAGAGAGACCAGTAACATGGCGCGGGGGAGGAGGAGAAGGAGGCGACGGACCGAGGTGCACTCTGTCAGAGCCATTTGAGCTACTTGCTTTCTGACAAGGCCCGAGGCGAGGGAGGAAAGCTGACAGCGCCTCGAGTGATCAGGTGTGTGCATGAGCAGTGGACTCGATCTCAGAAGCATCTGGGTTGAGAGGCGACCTGATGAGCAGAATTGGCGCCCTGTGGCGCTGAGGGTGAGCTCTGTGCTGGGTTCCCGGGTATCGAGCCCTTTGAAGACATCAGGCTTGGGAAGGCGGGTCCCGAGGCTGGGTAACAGCGGGCGCGGTGGTGGTGCTCGGATGCTGGCACCGCCCGGGTGGGTCCTCCTCGGAAGAGGGGGAGGTGAGCATGGGGCGTTGGGGTGAGGCAGAGGGGGACGTGTGGGAATTCACTGGGCCACGCGGAGAGCCCCTTCTGTGATGAGACTGTCGAGCCTCCTCTGACGAGTCGTCCGCAGGGTGTGCATTGGCCATTTCTAAACGCCGGTTACCACAGCCAAAGGCCCTAGGAGCTCTGTTTACTCTACCTATGCAACTCGGGCATAAGCCTGGGGATAATAAAGAAAATTCTCTTGATCGTTCCAGATGCTGCTAGGTGGGTCCTGGCCTTTTGTTTCTCCTATCCGGTTAGAATTCCAGTCTCCTACCCCAGGTGCAAGCAAATGATACCCATTCAGAGGTTGATTTTATGGGAGAGGTCTGGAAACAGTGAGGCAAGGAAAGTGCTGCCCACCCACTTCCCAAAATGTTTTCAAATTACCTTTGAATCTTACCAGGAACCAAGCTGTGTCACTGTCCTCCGAGAGTTCGTAAGCTGGTGATAAAAATCATCACCACCATTGGCCACTTCGCAAGAAAAGCAGCTCCCATTTATTGATGCTTTCTGCTTATTCCGCAGAGTGCTAATTGCCACGGATGCATTAGTCATTCAATTCTCACAGAATCCCTTTGAGACAGATATACCCTGATGGTGTCTGTTTTACAGACAGGGAAACAGGTGCAGTGATGCTAAGTGTCTTGCTGTGAATGTACCTGAATAAGAGATTTTCCTCTGTGCTGCCTCTACAAGAAGTCTATGTGTGGCTGAACTATTGTGTGTTATTTTTACCATTGCTTCCAGTGACATTTCTAGCAGAGTGCTGGGAAGGCACAGATAGGACAAGTCTAGGGCTTGCAAAGAGGCTGTTGTAGTCAGGGCTTTGGCAAGGGAAAACATTAAACACAGGATGCATTATTTATAGGATTATTTTATGATAATTACCCAAAAAGTGAAGTACAAAGTAATGCAAGAGATTAGCCACACACTAGAGGCCCAAAGAATCCAGCCACGGGCCTGGGTCCCAGCAATGTCCCACAAAAGTCCAGCTAAAGGATTAGAGTCCAAGGCAGTGTCCTCCACAGGCGCACCAGTGGCCTAGAGCACACGGCATTGTCTCAATTTTGTCCGTTTTGAGGATCTGCATCCAGAAGGTCCAAAGGACAGGGGTGGAAGCCAGAAAACCTGCGCCAGTGGGGTGAAGGATTTCTGTCTCTAGGCTGAGGGATCCACATTGGAGTCAGGAAGTGATGCTCACAGTGAAGATCAGAGCTCCCCTGATGAGAACAGCAGTAGCAGGGCCCTGAGCTCCTCCTCCTATGAGAACAGCCAAGTTTGCATCAGGAAAACCACTCGCAGCAAGCTTCTCCTAGAAAATCAACAGCCCACGATCTCCCCCTCCAATTCTCTTTTGATGGCTCTTGGTAACGATCCTCAGGTGGATCCTTCATACCAAGGCCACGTTGATTCAGTTCAGCTGGGTGTTACAGGTTGACCCTTAGTTAATCCACCATAGAGGCTTGTTTGGACAAGGGTCAGTACTCTGGTGTAAATGGGGAAGACAAGTCATGTCTGAACCTGCCGCAGCTGACATTAGTGCTGGAAAGTCATGCTTGATGGTAGAGTATGGGACAGCAGATTTGTGGTTAGCGTGGCCTTGTAAGTGAAGGCACAAAATAAAGCCTTGCTGACAATGATAATTGTGGTGTGAGAAACATATCGCCTTCTTGCTTAATCATGGGATGTAGACTGCTCAATTTTTAAATGGCGACCTTTGCAGTTTAGAGGCACCAGTTTCTTTGGGAACCGGATCATCCAGGAGCTACTGTACCCTTCTGTAAATTCCATTCTACCTTGCTAGTTTATTTGCTGCATAGTCCACTCTTTTCTTTTTCTTCCTAATTTTCATTACTGCTTGAGCTAATTGCTCTCACGCATTTATTCAATACTTTTGTGCAGTGCCTACTGTGTGCGAACACTGTTCTGTGTCATGGGGGTCCAGTGAACTAGACCAAGAAGGTACCTGTTCTTATGGAGCTTACATTTTGGAGGAGGAAGACAGACATAAACCAAGGAAGTAAACAAGATAATTTCAGATAGTGGTAAGTGCCACGAAAAGTAGGAGACAGCCCAGTAATGTACTAGTGACTGAGGTGGGGTTAACCAGGGTGGGATAATCAGGGACAGGAGACGTTCAGGCTAAACTGAAGGATAAAAAGGATCTAGTCATGCTCTATTTGGTATTTTTTTATAATCTCCCTCTTAGAGCTTGTATTTGAATAGTTAATGCATTGTCATGTTATTCTGTAATAATATATTACTGTGTATCTGTGATATGTAGGGCATGCATGCACTAAGGTATGTGAATAACTTACTGAAGCAACGAGGAGAGGAAATATTTCTATGATGTTAAAACTGTTGATACAAAGGTAGTTCATTTAAAAATTTTTTTCAGACCTTTGAAATTGAATTTCAGGTTTGCATATCCATGGAAAGTATATTACATTATTTGTACAAGAATGTAATCATTTCCTGTATTACTGAGTGTGTAAATTGTGTTAAAAATACTTTGAAATATTTTTAGCATAAATGAATTTATTTGGATTTCTTTCAAATCTTAGTTACTGCATTTTGGTTGTTAAAATATAACAATATGGGTATAAACCTAGACTGAAAAATGGGTGTGTGATAAATTATTTTGTTGATTTTTTTTCACTTTTGCTTTTCTGTTTGTGTACTTGTTTTTGCAGAAGTAGGGATTGAATAGGGCTCATGCATAATAAGCAAGCATTCTATTATTGAGCTGTTAAAAAAATTGATATAAGTTTGCAAAATAGTGACTTTCACACTCTGCAGAACAATTTCTGTGAAATTAAACTCACTTTGCATAAATTGAATAGAATAGAAATAATTACAGTGGATGGAAAAGTGGGAAGAAATTTTGTAACTGATAAAACTATCAGTTGATCAGAAGTAGCAATGTATCTTTTCTTTTTTTTTTTTCTTGAGGCAGGGTCTCACTATGTAGTTGAGACTGACCTGGAACTCACTATGTAGCCCAGGCTGGTCTTGAACTCACAGCGATCCTCCTGCTTCAGCCTCCCTAGTGCTGGGATTACAGGCATGTGCCACCGTGTCCGGCACAATTTGTCTTTTTTTTATAATGTAGTCATAATTTCAAATTTGCTTTTTCCTCATTTTCAGTTGTATTATAATTTGCCCCTGACATTTCAGGGTACTAAATTTTTAAGTATTCTGAGATTCAGGGACAGTATCATATTCTGTCTTCATGTTTGCATATCCCACAGCATGAATTCAGTGTTAAGTAGTTAATTGTTCCAAAATGAACACTTAAACATTATTGTATTGAGTTTTCTGCTTCCATAGTTTACCAGTTCCCTTGCTGATTATGATTCTAATAGTGTCTCTTATTCTTTTCCCTTGTCTATATAAAGGAAACAGTGCCACGTATAAGGCTATGCAAACAGGCAATCAGTAAATATATAGCATTGCTAAGGAATGATTATGGTGGTTGATCCTTCTTTTTTTTGGTACCAGGGATCAAACTTGGATCCTTGAACTTACAAGGCAGCTGGCGGAACCACTGAGCCAAGTCCCCCGGCCCTGTGGCTGATCCTTCTGATTACCTGGGCCATCACAAATTCCCAGAAACTATGAAATTACTGGGCTGTTATTTTAAGTAACTTGGTGATGTTTCCAATTTTCAGTAGTAAAATAAAGAATTAATCCCAGGGCCAAACAATTTTTTGTTTTCTACTGCTGACTGCATTGGCTAATGTCCCTGGAGTCAAAATATGTCCTTTTTTTTTTTTAATATAGGGTCTCATTATGTAATGAGACTGACGTGGAACTCAATGTGTAGCCCAGGCTGGTCTCGAACTCACAGTGATCCTCCTGCCTCAGCCTCCCAAGTGCTGGGATTACAGGCGTGCGCCGCCACGCCCAGCTTTTTTTTGTTGTTGTTTTTGAGATAGGGTCTCCATCTGTAGTTAAGGCTGGCTTTGAATTTACTATGTAGCCCAAGTTAGCCTCGAACTTGTAGCAATCCTCCTGCTTCATGCACCACCATGCCCTGCAAAATATACAAGTAATAGCTTTTGGACTTCATAATAGAAAAATAATTTTAAAAATTAAATTGTTTAAACAACCCTCATTATGCTACAAAAAGCATTTCTACTATTTGTTTGTTTATTTATTTATTTGGTTCTGGGGATTGAGCCCTGGACCTTCACACTGAGATATATCCCCAGTCCTTTTAAAAATTTTTCTTTCAAAACAATTTCTTTGAAACAAGATCTCACTAAGTTGCTCATTTGCCTGGGCAGGGTTCAGATTTGCTATCCTACCTCATCCGCACAGAGTGCTGGGATATCAGACACGTGCCACTACACCTGGTTGGATTTCTGCTTTCAGATGATACAGTTTTTCTTGTGCTGTATAAATAGGCCTTATTGAAGAAAATACATTATTTTCTTTTATAATCTAAAGATAGCGAAATGCTACAGAGCTTTTGTTTTCTTTAATTCTTAGTACTCTCTAAACTATATTTATATTTAAAGATTGATTTGCATGCAAAAATATTCATAAAAATTTAACATATGAAAACAAGTCTTAAGTGGATGAGATCTTGAGGTGCTTTTATAACCTAGAATTAGCTTCTAAACAATGTGATATTTCAGGGCAGGGCCAGTTCAAGGACTCGTGAATTCTAGGAATATTTCATGCTCTACAAAATTTGACAGATAATTAAGATTGGTTTTTCTCAGTATGTTCAAAGTAACATTTTTCTTTCTTGTAGTGTGACTGTGGGAAGATGGAAGAGTATGAAGAGTTCTGTGAAAAAACTCTTGCCGGAATCCAAGAAACATCACTATCCACAGAGAGCGTTCTACCCAGTCCGTCTGAAAGCATCTCACTGATTCGTTTCCATGGAGTGGCTGTGCTTTCTCCACTGGTAACTTTCTTTTTTTTTTTCAGCTTTAATTGAGTTTATTGGTACATTTTAGGGATACAGTACAGTTACATTCATTGTTGGGATCTTGTACCTGTACATGACAAGTCTTGATTCTCATTTTTTCCCCTTACCTCTGCCCTCCCTTCACCCCCTCCTCCCCTCCCCATCTACAAACACTTTATTTTCATTCTCTCACATTTTTTTCTTTTCCCTTTTTACTCTTCCGCTACCCATCCCACCTTCCCTACGCCTTTAGCTCCTTTCTTCCCATTTCTAAATGTCAGTAATCTTATTAGAATCGTATGCATTGTTGCAGATTATTTACACCAGGGAAACTATTAACTTTCTTTAAATAATTTTTTTCTCTAGTGAGCCGCAAAAGCAGCTCACAGGAAAACAAAGAGAAGGCTTATAAACACTTAAAAGATGGCTGATGTTTATTCACAGTTACAGAAATACAAATGAGTTATAATTTTTACCTTCTAGATTTGTGAAGGTCTGATAGATTCTAGTGGGGGAGTTGCCCCTTAAATGTACTTTTGCTAAGAAAATCCACTTACAGGGGAACAAAGATGTGCTGTGTATATCTAATAACTGATCAGTATAAATTATATGCCATAACATGAGCTAAAACAGATAATATCAACAAGTGTGCAAAAGGTGATATGGGAACCAGGGGAGGAGACATGGCATGGGAAAGAGGAAAGGGATTAGCAAAAAAAAAAAAAAAAAAAAAAAAAAAGCTGTAATATGTACATGTAACCACTCCCCGAGATGATTATAAACTGTGTGAATTGCAAACAATAGAATAAAGTTGTACTAATAGAATAAAATAAATTCAATTAAAAAAAAAAAAGAAAATCCGCTTTTCTTTGGGCGAGCAGTCAGTGGCATTTATCAGAACTTAAAAGTATATGTAACTTTGATCAAGCAGTTTCACTTTTGGGGAATAGCCTGCAATTACAGGTGTGCTCAGACAAAAGTTATACCAGCGTTGTTGAAATTGAAAGAGGTCGACAACCTGAATGTCTACTAACAGTGGGCGGATTTAACTGACTGTAGTCTATTTTATAGAGCTGTATAGCGCAGGCATAGGAAGATGCCCTCGAGCTACTGCATGCAGCCTCTGGTGGGAGCCAGTACAGAGTTAAAAGTCTAAGCTCTGGAGACCTCTGGGCTGGATTCAGAGCATTGTTTTGCCACTTACCTGCTGGGTGAATTTTTGCTCCATTTCCTTGTTAAATGAGAATTAAAATGGTACCCACTTCATGAGTCTATTTTGAAGGTTAAATCAATTAATACATGTAAAATACTTAGCCTACTGCCTGGACCCTAAGTGGTAACTATTTGCATTTTTAAAAGACCACGATCGTTTTTGTTGGGTAAGGGAATATGAAATGAGTGAGAAGACACATTTTTTTCATCATCTGTGCGTTGATACTCATTGAATATTTACTAATGTAATTGATTTTGTTTTAAATCAGAAAATTAACATTAGTGAAACAGTAAGTTAAAAATGTGTTTTGGTATAACAAGTGTTAAAAGATCGGTATTTTCTATCAACTTTTTGTAATGAAACTTTTCAGCATAAAATGGTTCAAAAAATAATAGTGACCACTCGTATCTACCATTTAAATTCAGCAATTTTTACACATTTTTGTTATCTTTGATTTATTGTTTGTGATTTTATCTGTGTATGTACACATATACTAAAACAATTGATCTTGCTATATATTTTCTAAACAAAAGGACCATATATTTTGCTATACAAATCCCAATGCCATTATCACAATTTAAGCAAAGTAATAGTATTTAATATTCTATTCATATTCAAATTTTTTACTTACACTTAAAATCTTTTTCTTTTTTTTTTGGTTTTTTTGAGACAGGGTCTCACTATGTAGTTGAGATTGACCTGGAACTCACTATGTAGCCCAGGCTGGTCTCAAACTCACAGCGATCCTCCTGCCTCAGCCTCCCGAGTGCTGGGATTACAGGCGTGTGCCACCACGCCCAGCCTAAAATCTTTTTATAATGTGTATCCAGAGTTCATAAGTAGCGTTAGTTTATTATGTTTCTTTAATCTCTTTTTGTATAGAGCTATCCCTCTACTTCTTTACAAACTTTTTTTTCGAACATTGAGTTTTTAGAGTCCAGGCCTCTTGTCTTTTAGAATGCCTTCCATTTTGAATTTATCAGTTTTTCTTCATAGAGATAATTAGTTTGTTCCTGTAGTCTCTGTAGCTCCTACAGACTGGAAGTGAAGTGTAAAAGTTTGCTTAGAGTCAGGTTAAACATTTTGGGCAGGAACTCAAGATGATGCCATCTGTATCATACTAAGTTAAATCAGAAGTCAGGTAAGTTAGCTCCATTAGTATAGTTTAGTTTGAATGGTTGCTTACCATGATGACTACTGGTCGGTCTTTAAAAATCAGACCTTTCCCCGCTTTTTGATTAGCAAGCAGACTATGATGATTCTTGTGTAGCATGCAAGTAGGAGAATTTTTTATTTATTCATTTTTTTAATTAATTAATTTATTTTAATTAAATTGAATTTATTGGTACATTCTAGGTAGATGGTACAGTTGCATTCATTACTGGGATCTTGTACCTTTACATGCCAGGTCTTGGTTCTCATTTTTTCCCCTTGTCCCCACCCTCCCTTCACCCCCTCCTCCCCTCCCCACCTTCAAACACTTTAATTCCATTTTTACATTTTCTCATATTTTTTTCCTTTTCCCTTGTTCCCCTTTCCCTTTCCTTCTAACTGTCCCTATACCTTTGGTCCTTTTCTTCCTATTTCACATTGCTAATTGTTCCGTTAGGATCTTGAGTACTATTTTAGTTTTTCACACCAGAGAAACTATTCAGTATTTGCATATGTGTGACTTATTTATTATTCATTTTTTTAAATTAGTTGATATTTATCACACATGATGGATATGTTCATTGGGAGAGGAAAAAGTTTTAAAGCAATACTTTTATCAGCTATTTGATAACTATTGCCTTATTGTATAGAGTGCATGACTCCCTTAGTTTCTTATTTATAAGCAAAATCTTATTCTTATAGATTTATGTGTTTGTATGTTGTATTTGAAAAATGAATATTGCAGGGTTAGAATAATTTTTATGACATGTTTTCCATTTGTGAAAAGCTATTAAAGTCTTAACTTCCCAGGACTTAACAATTGAATGTGCTATAAAAAGAGACAATGTTTGGAAACTCATTTTTTAAAACATGTTTTTCTTGGAGGTGATAGTGAGATGGACAAAAAATGATTTTGTAGCCAAATAAAACATTATCGGTTTCTTTTATCATGAAACCTTTGAACATTTTCTTGAAGCAGCAGAGGTTAAATATGCCCCGATTAGAAGATTAACTGACCGAGCGAACTGAGGTATTTACCAAATGAAAACCTCAGCATTGGCCATAGGGACTAATTTTATCTTTGTCATTTTAGACCATTTGCTAAAAGAACAAGCTTTTGTCTGTTTGTTTGGGTTTTTTGTTGTTCTGAGAAGGGGTCTTGCTATGCAGTTCAGGCTGGCCTTGAACTCAATATGTAGCCCAGGCTAGCCTCGAACTTTCCTGCCTCCACTTGCTGAGTACTGGGCTTACAAGTGTATGCCATTTTTTTTCTTTTAGTTAACTTTTCTTTGTCAATCGAGAATAATTTACATTCAGTGAAATGCACAGATCATAAATGTTAAAGTTCCTTGAGTTTTGATGCATGGTATAAGTGGTATTCACTTTTGTAGCTCACACCTACACAGAATGCTTTTATCACTGCATATCTTTTATCACTGATCCCAGTCCGTATCCCAACTAACGTTCAAATTTCTTTCAGTACAGATTAATTTTGCCTGTTGCCCTGTGGTTTTAACAGTTTTGAGTCAAGACTTCCTGATTTTATATTTTTGTCATTGAGACACAATTATATATTTTTGTGTCTTGCAGCTTAATATTGAGAAGAGAAAAGAAATACAACAAGAAAAACAGAAAGCACTCGATGTAGAAGCAAAAAAGCAGGTTAATAGGAAGAAAGCTTTGTTGACTCGTGTCCAGGAGATTCTTGAAAATGTCCAGGTGGGTGATTCAAAAATCTTTTAGGCTATAATTCGGAAATCATAAAAAGCACTGATGAGATATGTTTGCAAATAACTAACTGCTAATGTGCTTTACCGTTGCTTGAGAAGTTTCATAATTTTGAGATATTTCATTTCACTTCAGAGAGAATCCAATTGCTCGTCAGTAGCGCCCAGTACTTGAGTCAGAGGATACTTAGACAGTGAAACTATACACTGAATATAATTGCTTATTGTCTCTGTCTTATGACTCTAAAAACATTGGATTCTCAGTGACAAAGTGATAGAATTGACCATTGTAGTTATCCCCTGAACTAATCAGACTATCGACTAAAGGATCTTTTCATTCTCTGGTAAAGTAAATAACTGTCCCCAAATTTTTGATGAAAATTCCGCTGTTAGATACAAAAAAATGCAGTGTAGATTAAGTAGAATTACCTAGATATGTTCTATATCCAATTGAAATCATTAAATAATGCACCCACATCACTTGCAATGACTGTATTTTTATTTAGATTAATGTAAATTTGTATAAACAATTTGTTTTAAGGTCTGGGTCATTTCATACTAAAAAGAAAAATGAATTAGATGAACAAATCGTTTCTGCCATGCGTAGCACTATTTTACTAGTTACTGTTTGTTTTTTAACAATCTTAGGAATTTGTGGTTTTTCTTTGTGATTCCTACTAGGTAACATGTATCTTATGAACCTTAGAGTATTTCTTGCTAACTGCTACCTTCATTTCTCTGTAAATAGTTAGGAATGTGGATAGTAGATTGTACTTTGCAGATTATAATTACTGTTGAAAACTCTAATAATTTTAATAAGAAGAGGTGGGTTTCTGACTTACTGGATAATTCTCATTATTGTAACAAAACTGGCATACTGTTTTTGGTCCATAGAGATGTCAAATATGCTAGAAATGAAATTATTGTTGTGTTCCAAAGCTTTCTATTTAAAATAGCATACGCAGTGTTGAACTGTGATGAATTAATTATTCAGGTAAAAAAATTTTATATAATGCAAATTTTCAGTTCTCTTTCACACGTAAAATTTTTGATTTTATGATAGGTTTTATTTATTTTTTTTATGTAGCTTGTTTAACCAAAGGATTATTTGAATGGTATACAAAAAGTACATAGCTGCTGAATATCACAACTGTGAAATGTGAAAGATTTTGTATAAAGAAATAATGTTTTGGGCCGGGAATTTAGCTCCGTGGTTCCGCCACCTGCCTCGCAAGCGCAGGGACCCGAGTTCAATCCCCGATACCAAAAAAACAAAGAAACAAAAAAAGAAATAATGTTTTGCCTGAACCTATGACCATATTCATGGATTTGGTGAATACACATCTGTTTTGGTTTATTTCGGTCTTGAGGCAGTGACTAAGTACAAATCCTTGTACTCTGTTTATTGTGTACTACCTGGAAACCACTGTGTGTCTTGGGATTTGTAAGGTAAAACCAGAGTGCCACATGGTGTAGGAAAAACCAAATAAAACAAAACAAAGAACAAGCACACACAAAACAACCTCAAAATCTTTTAATATTGAGAACTTTGGGGTTTATGTTCATATCATAATTTAGTGATTTCTGCCAGTTTACTATGTGCTTGTACAGTCTTTAGCAAGTAGCCTGGTTCACTTTTCTTTTGCAAAGTTGAAATATTTAGATACAAAATGTAATTTTATTTTTTCTGTTAGATGTCCTAAATATATACTTTTTCTCAGCTTAATACAGCAAATAACTATTTCACTTATTCCAAAATGCATTAGCAGGTTATTGTTTTAACGTACTACTAGTTAATCTATTTGAGTTTTGTTTTGTAAATTGGCTTTTAAATTGAAATATTCCTAATTTCTAAGTAATTTAAGCTACATGGATGACTTATTATTTACTACAAATTTGCTTCATTTTATGGAGTTTTAGTGAAACTTTGGGGTGAGCATGAGTAATTCATTATTACTGAATTGTTTTTTGCTTATTCAGTGTCCTAAACAAGTTTTTCTTTCTTAGCGCAGGAATCATTCATGTAAGACATTTAATTACTTGGCATTTATTGCATATATTTTTATCCTCAGATAGGTATCATAGAAGGAATAGCTGTTGATGTTAATAACATGTAGCCAGAAGAAAGTTAAGGAAAGGGCTTCTATCTTGAGATTAAATTATACATGAATATATGTGTGTGTGTGTGTGTTTACATTTTATAAAATAGTTAATTTTCTCTTTTAATAAATAGGTTGTTTTTGTTAGTAATCTGATTCCCATGTGATATACCATAGAAACTGTCTCTGTTTTTGCTTGTGTTTTCAAATGTCACAATTCAGAATCTTCAGTTTTTGTTGTTTTAGAAAACTATGAAGTCAAGAGCTATTTGTTCAATGAAGAAATATTAATTTTTAATGTCCTTTTTAGGTTAGAAAAGCACATAAAGCCAGTGATTTTGATCAGTGGGAGGCGGAAACAGTTTATTCTAATTCAGAAGTCAGAAACTTGAATGTTCCTGCTACATTTCCAAATAGCTTGCCAATCCCTCCTGAGCACACTACTTTAACAAAGTTTGAAGAGACCCCTGTGGTTTCGCCCATTGATAATGAGGACAAACATCTACCTAATGGAAGAGAATTAGCTAGAGATGCGGAAGGATTCAATTCTCCAGAGCAATGTGATCATTCAAATAGTCACACTGAAACCGAAGCAGCTCCAAAGATCTCCTCAGCAGCACCGAAAGGAACTCTTATTTCTGAATGTCTGCTCTCAAGGACTGAAGAACAGGCTCTGCCAGTTTTGGTAGAAGTCATCCCGGACCCCTATGTAATGAGTCTTCAGAACCTGATGAAAAAGTCAAAGGAGTATATAGAAAGAGAACAATCCAGACGCAGTCTGAGAAGCAGTACAAGGAGGAGTGTTAACGAGAGTCACTCAGACAAAGAAAATGATGCTTCGAAAGTGAGTGAGTGTGTGAAGGAGAAATCCCCGCTGATGGGCAAACACTGTGGCTCAGCGATTCCTGATAAACTTAGCCTTAATAAATCAAACGTTCTTCTCCAAGGTGCTTCCTCTCAACCAGGCAGCACGAATACATCTGTTTTAGCTAGCTTTTCTAAAGTAGATACTCCTGTCCAAACGGGGCATCCCACTGTTCCGGATTCTGAGGCTGATTTTAAAGTTATTCCCACCTCTATTACTGAAAATAATGTGATCAAAAGTCTTACAGGTTCCTATGCCAAATTACCTAGTCCCGAGCTAAGTGTGAGCCCTAAAATGCATCGCAGGCGTTCCAGGCCATCTTCAGCATGTCACATACTTATAAATAACCCAATAAATGCCTGTGAGTTAAGCCCTAAAGGAAAAGAACAAATGGTGGACGTAATTGTTCCCGATACTGATGAAAAAACAAGTGTGTTTGAAACTGTGCCAAAGTTACCAATCGATTTAGCAGGAGTTTGTGCAAGCAGGACTTACGTCAGCAAAACAGCTACCAAAGCCATGGAAACTGTGGCTGTAGGTAAATCAAGTCAGGTGCGTCAGTCTTTGGGAAATGACTTAGAAGACAAAGTTACACAGGGACTCGCTGCTGTGGAAGGCCAGTTAACCTCTGAGGCCAGAGGAACACACACAATGAGTAATACCCCTTGTCCTACAGGGCCCACATTGCAGGATCCATATGTCAGTTCCGGTCAGTGTATAGCGAGTCAAAACTTGGGAACAGTGAGTGGATTCAGGTCAGTGAGTGTGTTTGAGAAAAACTCCTGCAATTCTCAGATGGAACTGAATAAGTCTTACACTGTAAAAAATCCATCTCCTTTACTGATGCAAAACCAGCGCCATGGACAGCAGATGGACACACCTATGGTGTCCTGTGGAAGTGAACAACTTTTGGATAACAGCTTGGAAAAAGTTAAGCGGAGACTGGATTTGGATCTGGACAGTATGCAGAAGGAAAACTGTCCTTGTGTCATAACCACCGGCATAGCTGAACAGGAGAGACAATATTTGCCAGAAAAAAGATACCCTAAGGGATCTCTCTACATTTACAAGAATAAAATACTAGAAACTAGCACAAAAGGTAAGGACACTTGGAAGTGTTTGATAGCTCCCAAGAAGGTGGATTTTTGTTTTAATACTTTATTTGTTTTTAGACAGGGTCACACTAGGTAGGTTAGGGTATCCTGGAACTCACTAGGTAGGCCAGGCTGGCCTCGAACTTGTGACAGTCCTCCTGCCTCAGCCTCCTAAGTGCTGGGTTTATAGGCCTGTGCCACCACCCTGGCTTGTATTAATACTTTTAATTGACATTTTGCAAAATAAGCAGTTGTCTTCCTCTGTTCGTGAGGGCACTGAATTTCATTTACCTTACTGAAGAACATGATTAGCCATAATTTATTGGCATTTGTTAGGCTTTTGGCAATAATTTTTATATAAATAATGAAGCTTTCATAGTGCACTTGGAACTATAGAGAATATTAATGACTAGAAGAAACAATTCTGTGAAACATCATGGTTTCAGCTCAGTGTGTGGCCATACCTTTGGGTGTGATTTCAGATGTTGTGCCGTTATGCCCTTTCATTTGAAATCAGGTCTTCATGTGTAGTTGGCCCTTCAGTAAACTAATTAATACTAAATTACTAGAGTACACATCACAAATAAGGCTTGGGGTGGTGTTTGAAGAATGATTCTTTGTGGATCAACTTTACTTTGTATTTCTTTCTGTTGCATCCAGTTTTATATGAAGAGCTTGTTAATGCATGTATTTCTCCTTCATTACTCTTTCCTTTGTTGTCCTGGTTTGGAATTCTTCAGTGCTGATAAAGAAGACATAAGTAAATTATGTTGTTAAGACTTCTGAGAAAAAACAATGTTAGGGCAGAAAGCTTTAAACCAGCTTTATAAGAGCTCTGTAAGAAAGCAGTCGGTATCTGGGAGGCCACCTTGGATTTTCCAGGTACACAGCTTAGCATGGCTAAAAGCTGCCTCTGACCAGCAAAAGAACACAGGATCAGCATTGCAGCAATTCTGGCAGTGCTTTGATAAGCATACAGGATGGGGTCAGTCACGGGGACCACCAGGTAGCTGTTAAAATGGGCAAGGGAGACAGTGTAACGTGTAACACTGGTGGGCCCCTGGAGTTCTTCAAATAGAGCCTAGTGGATTCCTGTCCATTGAGCGGTTCCTCGGAGGGCCTCTTTCCTTTCTTGAAGGTTATAATCTGCTGCTTTTCCAGTTGCTCTTGCCTTGGAAAAACCACACATTTGCAAATGCTCAACACAATGTACTTAGGAGCAAATTACGGGAAGATTATAGCAATAAGATAAAGGCCCATGATACACTTGCCTTCAGTAAAAGTCACTGACTCTGTGTTTGGAAGGAATGATTCTTTGATCTGTGAGTGAATACTTGCTGTGTCCCCAGCTGTTTGATATCTCAGTGTGTCCGTGTTCCTGTACTTTCTGTTTAGTTAGCTTGCGTAGTCATACTGATTTCTCTTCATTTTTAAGTTAGTATTATTGATTATTAATTAGACTATCTGGAATGGCAATCCACAGTATGTTTTGGAACCTCCTCAAGCTAAGAAAGGTTTATACCATCATAGTATCCTTTCCTTGAGAATCAAAACAAAGCAAAGCTACAAGGTACAAAACCCGAGATCCTGGAGTAGGGCAGGGGCCAAAAGAATGAATAGTGGTGAGGTTTAGTTCAGGACCACATGTGGAAGTTGATTAGATCTGGAGACTCCGGCTTCCACATTTAGTCTCGGCTAATCAGGCCAGATCGTGATGGGATCTGTTGAATGAGTGGGGACAGGTGACGGGACGCAAGCCTTTCTGTCTCTCTGAACGTGAAATAAGGGGAATGGCAGGCGTCATTGTGGTTCAGCCTGGTGTCCTGGCTATGTCTTGCTTCAGTGATGTCACATCCAGGAACACTCTCTGGTCAGAAGCATAATTTATTCGTTTCTTTATTGGGTACCAAGGATCAAACTTGAGACCTTGCGCTTACAAGTCAGGCAGCAGAACCACTGAGCTAAATCCCCGCCAGAAGCATAATCTAGGTTGATGGTATTAAATAGCAGTCAAATAGGTAGTGAATTTTCTCAGTTGAAGGGTCTTATTTCTTTTCAGAAGGTGAGGAGCTGCTACAAAGCAAGATGTTAGCTTTTGAAGAAATGCGGAAGAGACTAGAAGAACAGCACGCCCAGCAGTTATCCCTACTCATAGCTGAGCAGGAAAGGGAACAGGAAAGATTGCAGAAGGTGAGAGTCACAATGGTGAGGGACTAGGGCTGGTGAGTGACAGTTACTCATGGACACCTAAGGATTTGGGCTCTGTCTAAAATACTCAGAATTCCTGTGGCTCTTAATCTAAAAGGATCATTAGTTTTGATACATAGGTAGTATTTTTATTTTCAAAATGGGGTCTAATATTTAGATCTGTATCTAAAAGTAATTATGTAATTTATGAAAAGGTACTTTAATCCTTAATTCAAAACATAAAATGATTTTTTTTTTTTTTTGAGACCAGGTCTCTATAATTCAGGCTGATTTTGAACTCACTGTGGAGCTCAGGCTGGCCTCAAACTCATAGCTTTCCTCCTGCCTCAGCCTTCCAAGTGCTGGGATAACCCAGGCGTATTGCTACTGTGCCTGGTTCAAAACTTACATTTTTAAAAAGTGTGGTATAGATGCTGAAATACATAACCTGCAAGAGCAATGTCATACCAAGGATACTTGTTTTAAAATTATTATGGTTATCGTATCATTTGATTTTTTTTTCCTCTCATTGAGTTTATTGGTACACTTCAGGTATATAATACAGTTACATTCATCATTGGGATCTTGTACCTTTACATGACAGGTCCTGGTTCTCATTTTTTTTTTTTGAGAGAGAGAGAGACAGGGTCTCTCACTATATAGTTCAGGCCAACCTCGAACTCACAGAGATCCTCCTGCCTCAGCCTCCCAAGGGCTGGGATTACAGGCATGTGCCACACACCCACCCTCTATCATCTTTTTAAATCAACGAAATAAGTTTTCATAATTTTGAGGGAGGAAAACTTGAAATAAATAATAACTTGCTGTCAATTATATATAGTTTTGACTAACCCTAAAATAATAACATTTTGGGATATAACTAAATAAAAAAATCGCACATGTTATAATAAACTGTTAATCTATAGGAAATAGAAGAACAGGAGAAAATATTAAAAGAGAAGAAGGTGATTACAGCAGAAGTCTCTGAATTGAACATTAACCATACGGTAGAATTAGAATGGAGAAAAATAAGTGACTCTGGCTTGTTGGAAACAGTGCTGTCTCAAGTGGACTCATTCCATACTTCGAATTCCCATACTTCTGGTAAATATGGAAAAATCCTTTTCATTTGGAAAAAAGTTATTTCTCAGTAAGGTATTTTATGTTTAACACTTTAACATTGTAGCTTCCTTCTTGAATCCCATGTCCATCCCAGTGCTGTTTGCCAGCTGCTTAGTGACCAGTGACAGTGAAATCACATGTTAGATCAGAGAGCCCCGGGAGCAGGTGTTCTGAGACGAGGGAAATGTCGGGGCGGCTCGGGGCCCCACCTGCTCACCCATGTGGCAGGTGCCACGCTGCAGGTGCAAGTGCTGTCGTGATCTCAGTGCTGTTCCCTCCTCTAATTCCCCGGTCCCTGCCACCGTTTTATCTTCACAGCATCTCGAGACGCTGTTCGTGTTGAAAAGATCCATCTGTGTATAAGCCTAACAGCTGTAAATATTTTAAGAGCGCTTGTGGATCAGTTTCGGGGGCAGTCATTCTGAACGAGGGTGTGTGTTTCTCTAGGTTTCACAAATTCTGCTCTGCAATATAGCTGCGGCTCTGCAAACGAGGTACCGTTCTACCTCTGGGGATCATCGACCAGTGGCGTGACCACACTCTCAGTACCAAGGCCCTTTGGAAGGGGCCAGCCTCGATGGTCTCAGGTGAGCAAATGTACATCACAGGCGTCAGTGACGTGCGTCATCTGTCTAACCAGCAATCTCCGTTTTTTTTTCAAGAGCTACGTTACTTTAGTCCGTACAAAGAAGCATCAGCATTTTGGGCATACATCAGGTAGCTTAGCTTTCGGTACAGACGAGAGTACATAGAGCAAATACGGAGTGAGGAATTCAGTTCATCGTAATAGATTCAGAAAAGACAGCTGAGGGTTGGGGCTGCAGCTCAGGGATGAGAGGCTCGCCTCGTATGTGTGAGGCCCTGGCTTCCGTCCGCAGGACTGCACCAACGGAAAAGACTTAGGTGTAATGTTCAGCTTCTTAAAACATTGTGTCTGTCTTATTTCTCTTAGGTTTGTAATCCAGAAGTACAAGTGAAGTTTAACAAAATAACTGCCGTGGCAAAGGGATTTCTTACTCGTAGGCTTATGCAGACGGATAAGCTGAAGCAACTTCGACAAACTGTAAAAGTAAGATCGCTGTAAACCTTCTGTATTTCACTTCCATCTTAGTTTCAGCCTTCCGACAGCTGAGGTGACATTAGATCCGAAGTTTTTTAGTCACTGGTATTTTTAAGTGATTATTACTCTTTTTTTTTGCCAGACTTCCTTTAAAAAAAAAATTCTCATTAATGGCTTTGGTCAAGAATGACAGCGTAGTAATAAAGAAAACAGATTTGTTTGTTGAGCCCCTACAAAGATCACACAGCTCCCTTTTGAAGTACTTTGAGGACTTCTTCCCAGTTGTACTTGCTCTGACAGAAAACTAACGTGAGGGGTGGCAGGAAAAGGCTCTGCTCTCCCAGGCTGTGAGGCGGTCAGAAGCTGTGTGGGTGCTTGGGTCTGTGGCTGGGATCTCTTCAGTCGCAGTGAGGAGAAGCCTGAATTCATCTTGGCCTCATACCAGGAAAAGGCTTTTGCTCATTCCATGGGGAGTGAGTACTGGCTCTGATTTCTTTGTGGTCCTCATCCTTCCTTTCAGTGCTGAGGGCGTTTTGAGGAACAGGGGAGTCTCCGCTTTAGCCTCTGTCTTTCCCACCCATCTCCCTGTGCAGCCGAGCTCTTGTGCCTTTCAGTTCGCAGCCCGCTCGCTCACAGAGGGCGCCTGCACTGAAGGCTGGGCTGAGGCCCACCCAGAGGGAACCCAGCCACAGAAGTGTGGGGTGTGCGGGGAACTACCAGTTCTCCTCGGTTAAGTTCATTCATGTGTGTGAGTAAAGGTCATAGTTTTTTTGGCTGGTGACAACTTGCTGTCTCTGTAGTTTGTCCCAAGAAAGTTCTTGTTTAAGTGAATTTTGGAGAAAGAAAAAGACTTTCATCAACCTCACTTCAGAGGAAGGAGGTACCAAGTTCCTTCCCACACTTATGCGTAGTATCTTAAAGCAGCAAAATCGTTTTCAGCGATCAGCACCTGCGTCCTCGCTCCGTGCGTCCGCGGCACATCGTCACACAGTCTCTCAGTCTTCTGTCCGGCCCAGCCATGTCACACTGGCCGCTCACAGACTGAGAGCTTCCTTTCTGACCTCTTCAGTGTGGCTCGCCCTTCTGCCGTTGAGTGGGATAGGCCTTCGTCACAGACACGAGCTGTGGGGCTGGCCCCGTCCTTGTCCAGGTGCTTCCACGTCATCCTTTCGCCACCGTAATCATCTGAGTCTTCATGCTCAGTATCCAGACACCAGGCCTGGCACCCAGGCATCGCCGTGGACGTCTCCACCGGGCCCGGTTTACCACTAGGCGCAAATCGAAATTCAGTAGTAGGTTCAGCAGCATCGTCACTGACTTCTTTTTTCTTTTTGCTTTTTATTTTACTGGTGCATTTTAGAGAAACATAATGACAGCATCCAGCATAGGGAATTTGTTCCTGTGCATGATATATCTTGCTGCTTCTTTTTTCCTCATGCCCCTCCCTTCCCTCAGCCCCCTCCCCTCTTTATCTACAAAAGCCTGGCAAAGAGATTCTTCTGTTTCTTCTCCAGATCCTGCACTGATCATAACAACCAGTCACTTTCCCAGATAAGCATTTCAGTCCCTGGATGCCGCCTGTAAACTAATGGTGGGTGTGCAGTGAGACTCCTATCTGGAACCATCTAACTGAGACAGGTGGCCCCCAGGGACGGAAAGGATGCGGATGCAGAGGCCATCACCATTCTGCACGGCCCTGGCATCTGGCTGCAGCCCCAGAGCCCCCCAGCCGGCCCAAGAAAGGTCCCTGCAGCAGGGAGCACAGAATCTCAAGGTCAGCGGGATCCGGGACACAGCGATCCCAGCTAGCTGCAAACCGCCACCCTCCCAATTTAGAAACAATGGGTGAATGGAGTCGTTTTATACTTTTTGTCTTACTGGAATGTGAGTGCTGTTTGACATATAATCAGTTATAGTTTTATTTGTGTTCATAGTCACTTCGGACTGATTGAGAAAAATGGAAATTCAGAGATCCTAAGTCTTTTGTAGAACATGTTTTTGAAGAAGCATTTCTTTTTTCAGGATACTATGGAATTCATGAGAAGCTTTCAGTCTGAAGCGCCTTTAAGGAGAGGCATCGTCTCAGCACAGGATGCATCCCTTCAGGAGAGAGTGCTGGCACAGGTAAATGCACCTGTCCTGGCAGCTGATTGGTTCCACTAACCATCGGAGCCCCAGCCATGGAGATGTTTCTCTTGTCATTTACTCGCTAAAAATAGGTTTCAGCGACAGCTACTTCCACTTTTTTCTTAAAATAAAAGAAGCAGACATAGCATATGTTGTATTACTGAACTCTAAATTCATGTTTTAAACATGGACAATATTTTCCTCTCCTGTACACAGTTGCGCGCTGCCCTGTATGGTATTCATGACATATTCTTTGTAATGGATGCAGCCGAAAGAATGTGTATTCTACAGCATGATCGAGAAGTTCGCAAAGAGAAAATGCTCAGGCAGATGGTATGTGATTTTTTTCTCCTGAACATGGTTCTTCTGGCTTGACGATATTCGATGCTGAATGTCATTTTTTGTTGACTGCAGCATCCTTCTGATAATTCTCGATCACAGGAAATTCCCAGGGTTACTAGTAACATTTATGTTTGTAGACAGATATAAAAGAATTCATTTATTAATTTACTTTTTAGTTTACTTAATTTATGTAAGATGTTTTCATTCTTACACAGTGAAAGAATTGTACATTTGAATTGGATTTTGAAGTTGAAGCCTTGAATGTTTTCCTTGGGTGGCTTTCAGAAAACCACCTGCTGCTTCTGATTGAATTTGCTTAAAACTGTCCTAGGGATTTTTGCAGGTTTTTTTGTTTGCTTTGTTTTGTTTTTGAGATGCAGTCTTGCTGTGTAGTCCAGGCTAGCCTCAAACTCACAGCAGTCCTGCTACCTCAGCCTCCAGGGTACTGGGATTACAGGTGTGCGGCACCACGCCCAGCTTTTCTCTGTTTTTGAAATCAAAGTGAGAACATAGATTCCGCGTTATTTGATACCCTGTAAATCAGACTGGTGACAGTTTGTGGTTTGAACTGATAATCCAAGTGCAGTTGGCCTAAGAAAAACAAGCAGAATTTATGTTATTCCACTGGGGAAAGCTCATTAATCTTTGGAATCAGGCTGCTTCGATTACAAAGAAAAACTAAGTTAACTGTTAGGAAATATTGATACAGTGAAGTTTTTCCATGCAGTTTGTGATAGTCCTATATTACGACAAAGTGGTGTTATTGGCACTAACGAGTAGAGTTCTGTTACTTTTATGCTTCAAAGGATAAAATGAAAAGTCCACGTGTGGCTCTTTCGGCTGCAACACAGAAGTCTCTGGACAGAAAGAAGTACATGAAGTAAGTCTTTTTCCTATCAGGTCACATTGTCATCGCTCAGTTAATTTTAGTCATCTGCTGGTCTGTGTATATATTTTGAGTACATGTGCTGCACAAGCAAACGTATATATTTAAATTGGTAAAGAGCGCTTAGTTCCCTTTTCTGCATTTGAACTGATAGAAATTGCCTTTTTTTTTATAGAATCATTAAAATCAGTTTGATTTCATCTTTTGGTAAATGTACCCGTGACTTCATTTGTCAATGTTCAACTTACATAATTGATAGTCAATCAAATATTATGAGGTCAATCTTTATATTCAGTGTTTGCCTTTTTTTTTTTTTTTTTTTTTTTTTTTTTGGTATTGAGGATCAAACTTGGGTCTTTGTGCTTGCGAAGCAGGCAGCGGGACCACTGAGCTACATCCCCAGCCCTTCAGTGTTTGCTTTTATACCATTTAAATACATTCTTTTTCTGACGTCCTAAAGATTTCCTGGGAAGAGAAACATGATAGGAAATGTTTTCTACTAAACTTTTTAAATTCTTCATGCTTGAAAGTAGTCTTTCCTATGCTTAACACAGGCCTTTCAAGTAGTAGAACAGCTTCTAAATGATTTTTTTCTGTCAAGTATATCACATTTGAAGCATTTTTCCTCCCTTCTCTAAATGTATTATTTACATCCTTATCTTTATAATTTGGTAGAGTTGCTGAAATGGGAATGCCAAATAAGAAATTTCTGGTTAAACAAAGTCCTTCTGAAACAAGGTGAGAAAAACCACTTCATCTCAGTGAGAGGCTTTTCTTTCCCCCAAAGAAAGTTTTATAAACCCCAACCTCCCTCCTTGTTAACGTTGTTCTGTTCTACATCTGTGAGAACGGCTCTCTGAGCTAGAGGGTCTTCAGCTCCAGATGAACGCCACATGTCCACTCGCGGGGGCTCCGTGGATCATGCTCTCTCTGGCTGAAATGTGAGCTAAATACGTCTTGGTTTCAGGCCACGGTCATGGGCATCTTTGGTATTTATTTAAAACCCTTAGAAAGCTAATAGCATTTCGGACATGTTTCCTTCTCTTATAAAACGAGTGGTATTTTCTCCTGTCATGTGTTTGGAAAGTTGGCTTTTGTAAGGCCTGTGAGTAAATGATATACAAGCCCGAGAGTTAATGCATCTGTTGGATACCTCTTTCCTGATAAAAACCCCAGGAATAGGCTATTAGTGACCAAATCATAAGCAGCATTGATGTGCTGTCACCCGTCTGCTTGGCTTTGTGGCAACGTGGGTCATATCATTGCCTAGACGACTTCCAACCTCACTGTCACTATCTTTCACCTGTTGAAAGAAATGAGAAAAAAACGGTATTCTTTTGAATTAATTGTTTTATTTGTCAACAGAGTCCTTCAGCCAAACCAAGGACAGAATGCTCCTGTTCATAGGCTACTTAGTAGACAAGGGTAAGACTGCCACACCCACGGATATTTACAAATACTCAAAAAAAAAAAATTCAAGATTAGCCTTGAGAAAGAAATAGCATTATAGTGTTCTTAATATTAAAGGATAACTTTCAAATATGATAAAGTTCATACGTAGTTCTCTTACAAGTTTTGTCTTCAAAGCTAACCCTCTTTGTGTACTGTTGTGTAATATATTTTAATTTCCGTCTCAGGTTGGCATGTTTTTCGTTTTCATTTCAGACCATATTGTTCATTAACTATTTTTCAGTACCCCTAAAGTAAGTCTAGTATCCCGGAAGCAATTCTCCAACAAAGTAGGAGCCATGCTTACCATCTCTTGCAGAAACCTAAGTGGTTTTCCTCAGTGTGTGCACGCGTGAGACTGAAAGACTTTTTCAAGCTTATCTGTGCTTCGAACATTGATGCAACGTGGATGTTTCATTGAACATTGAACATTTAGATTTTAATGCAAGTGACTTATTAACTTTTCTGTATTCAATTAGAACCCCTAAGACATCAGTGAAGGGGGTTGTGCAGAATAGACAGAAGCCTTCCCAGAGCAGAGTGCCTAGCAGAGCGCCTCTCTCAGGTGTGTAGAGAACAAATCCCTGAAGCCCATTCAGTAGAAACACGGGCACAGCTGCCCCTAACACAGGCTGCGTGACCGGAGTATGTTGTCTTTCTTTGCCACCATAATGCTGGCGTATTCCTGGGCATTTGCATTTGCGATCTGGTGTTATGATCTTGTGACAGTTGGAAAATCTTAATAAAATGGTGGCTGCGATCTTCTTTCTGTAACAGTTCCATGGAAAACACTGTATTTTTTATTCTGAAAACTCTATGGAATTATCCAGGTTTAATTCAGAAAACTTTTATAAATGAGTGAAAGTTAATGATGCCTGACACTACGCAGGTCTGTTCGACACGGAGCAGTATATTGCCCAGAAATATTTGTATCTGCACCTAAGGGGATGAAGAATTTCTCCCTCTGTCCACAAGGTCACCAATGAATATGCAAGGTGGGAAGGGATCAATGAGAATCTTGAAACTGAAAACTATTTTTAAATTATTTATGGTGGCAAGAAGACAAATTCAGTGTTGAGCTAACATTTGCTCCTAACCAAATGCTTCATTATTTTGTAGATCTCTTTAAGACACTTTAATTGAGCTCCCTTAAAATCACGTGATGATTTAAAAATACTGCATTTTAACTATACTGCTTTCTAAACATTGAAAAGATAGGTAAATTAATTACCAGGCAGTGAAGATTGGGCTGTTAAATACTTATAATCTTCCCACTAGAAAATGACAAGTTTTAAAGCTTTTATTACTAAGTGATTTCCTCCAGGTTAGGAGGGGCAAGCAATATGTTTTTTTTTT